TCAGGCAAAATTCTTCTCCAGAGATGCCCTTCAGAGAGGACATCTGGTAAAACATCTTGTGAAGAAATGGATATGATAAGTCAGATGTAGTAATGTAAAAAAAATATAACTGGTGACAATTTTAGAGAAAACTGAAGAACACGTGATAAAGACGAGTTAAGAAAGAGGGCCAGCGAAAAAGCTCCTGCCTAGAAATTATTTTGCAAAACTGAAATGCATTAATTTAGTGCCAAAACAAGCAGAGTCACAATTTACACATCCCCATCAAATCAGTTATAACTTAAAAATATTATGGTTCCTATTTACATTACAGAACTTCTTATACCGTCTCAGAGCGTAGCACTTAGGGATGGAGAAAGGTCTACTTTTACTTTCGCTACCAGCGCAGAAGACTTTTAGTGTACCTACTCTAATCTCTGTTTTCTCCTATTTACAAACTACACTGGCTGGAATGAACATTTATAAATAGAAAGAAAAAATAATGCAGAGCAGGGAAAAGCAAATGGAAACAGAGTTGATGAAACACGAGGCATCTCTTCATCTTCAGAAAAAAAAAAAAAAGACATGCAATTCTCAGCATTAAAGACAATCTGGCATTATTCAGTAGTAACTTTCCCTCTTGCCCTCAAATAGGAATTGGTCCAGCTATGAAGGGCTGAAAAAAAAAACTGTCAAAACACATGGCCTCCCTTCCTATAGCTTCTCTATCGTGCAAAGGCCACTCGGAAAGGTCTGAAACAGCAGTGGATTCAGCAGTTCAGATCATACCCAGCAGCTCCCCTATTCAATTACGGCACAGTATTTAAACTCTTCGTAGACAAAACTTCATCTTATTCTTCAAGGCCTCAGAAGACAATTCACTAACACGTTATAATCGTAACATCTTCAGTTAGCCCCATCCCATTCAAAAGAGCTTTCAAGCAACTTCATCAATAACTGTGTCCTAATCCAGCCCCGGATGCATCCTAGTCAGTAGAGACTAACAGCCCAGGCCAAGCGGGCTTCCGATCACTAAATCACATCAAACACTAAAGCGATTTCACTAATGTAATTTCACTAGTCAGAGGGAGGATTTTTTTTAAGAAGCTTTAATAGCAGGTTTTTAACAACTTCCCTCTCCCATTTTTTCTCATTCTTCTCTCCTTCAGGACACAGATGCATGATTTTTTAAGGAGGTCTTAAAATTATATCTTTGACAGAAAAATCTTTATTTTAGAATGATAAATAGTGTCGTTCAGGGCTGTACATCTGAATATGCAACAGAACCCAGCCAGTAAGATTAGACCCGATATCAAATGTCACACTGTGAATTGCTACTTTTAATGTAGCGGAATACTTTTTTCCATAAGCATGCTATATTAACACTGGAAGAGTCAAAG